AGAGGAATGACTAAATAAATACAACTTGATGAAACTTAAAATTTAAGTGAAGAAGAATAATGAAAGTTTGAAAATTGAAATGCACCGAGTACAAAAGTAAGTAGCTTTAATAAAGAAGAGATGGATTGTCCATGTATAGTTAAGCCATTCACGAGAGGATTTTAGAATGAATGGAAGATATTAAGATTTTTAAGGCATTCACGTGAATGGGGTAAGGTTAAAGGAACGATAATAAATTATTCTGAAAGGACAATGATTGCACCTTAAGTGGAGCAAAGCATTTCAATAATTTGGTGTTAACCATTGGCTTATAACAAGATAATTGAAAATTTTTTAATGAATTATTATGTTTAATTTTAAATTAAACATTTATTTCGTTGATTGGTAAATTAATATTTTAGGTCAAGAGATAGTTTACTCTTCAAAATTTTCGCTTTCTTTTGTGAGTGGTTAATTTATAAATTATTGTAGTGTGTAATTAATGAATTTTATTTACTGTATGTTTTATTTCTTTTGCTGATGATTTGTTTGAATTCTCATGATCATTTCCTCATAAGAGAAGAGCAGATTTTTAATTTACATTTATTCGTTTTCAAAAGCAAAGTCGAAAGAAAATTGATTCTTCCATTGAAATCTTTCATCTGGTATTTGAAAACCATTTGGCCAAATTGTGACATCCTCCAACAAATTTCTTGTCCCCACGCACTTAAGCAAAATAGAGTTGTGGAAAGCAAACATGGACAATACTTAGTCCAAACTATCACTCACTTTGATGTTTCATGCCTCTTTTCCTCTAAGATTTTGGGTTCATGTCTTTTTTCAAACAGTTTAAGATCCGTTTGGTAATGTTTTTGTTTCAATGTTCAAGAAAAATGAATTGCATTGCCCCAACATATCCATGAATTTAAGTACGATAAAACAATATTTTTATTTCTTTTTTGGAATAAATTGGAAATGAGAACAAAAAAGAAAAAAAAAACTTGTTTTTGTTGTTTTCAAAATTTCTATACAATTTTGAGAATGTTTCCAAAAAAGAGAAACAAAAAACATAGATAGTTGCAAAATGTTTAGATTTATGAAGAAAACTTGAAACGAAAACGTTACCCAATGAGTCCTTATTTGATTAATAGAATGCCTCCCTATACCCTTTCATAAATGCAGTTATTACGAATGTTTGTTTCATCATTCATATGACTATATAGTATGCTTAGTGCTTTCCCTACCTCCAAGATTACGAAAACCATAAGTTAGATAATAAAATCTTTCCTTGTGTCTTGCTTTGAATAAAGTGGATCCATGTTCCAAAAGCATATCGGTGTCTTCGTACTCTCCCCAATCGTGTTTATATTGTCGCAACGTCATCGCGTCGCAGAGCAACTGACGTCATTCCCTGAAGAGTCTCTTTTGAGATAAGAGTTTGGAGTCGCCACCAATCATCTACGAGGTGTGATTGATCACCTATTTAAAAAATAAAGTCTACGAAAACCAGATTATTGGTTCGGGAGTCGATTGAGTGTAGAGGATGTGTTAGCAACCTACAACACCCGTTTAAAAATGGTACCATATTTTGTCATAAATTATCCTATTATATTATTTGGTCCAAAAGAAAACATTTTTGTGTCTTTTATTTAAATGTCTCACGTTATATTAATTCACACTTTGTTATAAGATATGAATTAATATGTATGAATGGCACGAAGGCTATTAGAAAAATTTTATCACGTCGAGAATATTGGAAGGTTCCAATTTCCGTTATTGGAGTTTTCGAAACAATTATTTAATAAAAAACAATGATATTAAAAAATATATCTTTTGAGACATGCAAGGACTCAAACTTCAATGTGTATTAAAACCTAAGCATCTTACCACTATGCCAACACCCAATGGTGTAAACATAGTTTTGTTTTACACAAACAAAACTTTTAATTTATTTTATAAAACTAAAAAAAAACTTAAGAATTTTGTTAAATTAAAACCAAAAAGAAAAATAATTTTTTATTTATTTCGAAATTAAAGAGATTTTTTAAAAGAGAAATTTTTATTTCAAAATCAAATCAAATTTACTTTAAACAAATTTTATTTGTTAAAAACGGTTTTAAAAAATAAAACAAAGCTGACACAAGAAAAAAAAATCCTTGTTACAAAGTTTTCCTCCCACCTCTAAATTTTGAATTGAAATTTAAAAGAATTCAATTTATTTTTTAAACAAGATTTATTTTATAAAACCTCTTATTTTTTTCAACTTATTTTAACCAAAAATTTTAAGCAAATTCTTTTTATTTAAATGAAATTAAATTTTTATTTACTTCATTTTAATATTTCATTTTATTTTATTTTAAAAACAAATTTTATTGTGAAATCATAAAAGAAACTTTTTTGTTATTATTATGAAAGGGTATACAGTTTTTCGGAGGTTTCTACCGTCGGGCTTTTGCTAGAAACTGATGTCGTTGGTATCACCGAAACTGATGTCGTTAGAATCACCGAATCTACTGCATCAGAGCTCGTGGGTGTCAGAGTGGGTCGCCGATCTCGCTCGTGCCGCCGCTGTGCAACCGTCGATCTGCTGATGACGAGTGGTAGCCGAAATACTATCAGATATGTTTGTCGCCAGACCCGAAATTTGTGGTGGTGCCTCGTCGGATTTGCAAAGGAAAATGGAAAATAATATATATGAAACAATTTAATAACTCAACTTATGAATCCCTCTTCCCACGTTCATATATATCAAAGGAGCAAAACAAAAGAAAGAAAAAAGAAATTGTAAACGGCGCNAAAAAACTCTCTTTGATTCTTCCCCGTTCTATTGTTTTTGTTCTCTATGTTTTCTGTCCTCCCTGCTCTCTACAACATCCCTCCCTCTTAAATAGGTAAAATGGTAATGGTAATATTTGGGAAGGTCAAGTAAAGTTAAAAGAAAAAGAGGAAAATAAGGAAGAAGAGTAAAAGTTTGACTTGAAAAAATCAAGTGGGTTTAAAAACATATTTTTTTAGTTAAAATCATCCTTTATTAAAAAAAAAAATTCCTTCAAATAAAATAATAAATCCAATTCTTTTAAAACAAATCTAAATAAAATCATTTTTTAATTTCTTATTAATAAAATCAAAACCTTTAAATAAATCTAACATTTTTTTAATTCAAGTTAATTTAAATTTTATCTTAAAATTAATAATAAAGTAAAATGATGTTAATCTAAAAAATAATTAAAATAAAATTTAATAAAATAATAAAAATAATAATCCACCAATTCATCCTCAACAACTTCCTTCCAAAAAAATGAATAATTATCCATCTCTTCTACTACAACCCCACATTATCAACCTCTCCGGAGTTTTCCCCCTCCCACAACACAAGTTGCTTGCCTCAAGAGCCTTCTGATGATGGCGGCATTTGTTATTCATCAAGCGTTTCCTTTCTTATTTCGTTACGTTCTATGACTGTCACAAAAACTTTCATTTTTCTCGTGATGTTTTATAACTGTTACAAAAATTTTCATTTTTCGTGATGTTTTTAAATTGTCATGAATTCAACTTTTTGTGACGTTTGAAATAAACATCACGAATACTTTTCGTGGTGGGAATATAGGTAACGTCATAAAGAGTCATGAAAGAGTTTCGCGGTGTTTTTTAAACATCATGAAAGTTCGAATTTCTACTTGGACAGAACAATATATTTTTTTATCAATCACAAATTCTACCGTGATTACCACACCGATTTTGCTATTTAGCTTTATGAAATTTGAAGAATTTGAAAATTATATATGAATTTAGCAACCGGAGCCATATAATTATTATGTGAGTTGTTTAAGACCCACTCTAGCTCGCTCATAGGTTTTGGATCGTGTTTGTTAGGGTGCTTAGCTTTTCGGGATCATTTGCTCTACTATGGATAGGAGTGTAGTCTATGTATTTTAAGGATATCTCACACTAAAAGATAAGTGACCTAACAAGAATTTATAATAGACATGAATTGGTTTTGAAATGGAACCCCATAAATATAACTACTTTCACTTTATTTTTTTTTCCTGTCGAGTAGTACCTTAGTTTCTAGCCGAGTCTATACAGATCAATACCTACCACCGACCTCAAATAACATATTGTTTTTTCTTTATATTTTTATTTACACATGTACTAATATTGACTCATAATTAATTTATTTGGAGCTAGCATTTTTCGTTGTGTTTCATTATGGCTTTTGAACTTAAGATACATTTTTTTTTTCTTTTGTTCTCAACTAAAAGGAGTGAGGAGATTTGAAGTGTTCATAGTAAGGAGAAATTATTCTGAAATTAAAATTTGTGCTAGCTAGGACTTTTTTTAAAAGTTAGCTTCGTCATTCATTTCTATTTGATAATAAATTTCATATCTTAGTTGGAATCTATTATTGTTAGCATGTTCTGCCCTAAGCTAGCTAGATATAACACTCTAGGGCGTATTGTGCAAGTTTAACCATCTTTTACAAAGTTGGATGATATTTAATACAATTTGGGATGTGACCCTACAATATTTGGTACTAAGAAACATATAGGAATTACTAATTTCTAAGATAGGTGGTCATCATAAGATTTGAACTCATTCTCTCTCAATTAACTCTAGTCCATTTGAACCAAAAAGCAACCCATGATGGTTTCTTTGTATCTGGCTTAATTAAGTTATGCTAGGCCTCCTAGTCTCACCTAGTAGTTTAATTACCAAAACTTTCGTGACCTAGTTGAATTATATAAACAAAGATCTATATGTTTTTTTTCCCTCTTAAATCTCGTTCATATATGTCTGTATATATATACACACATATATATATCATTCCTAGAATTCCTCAACAAATAGTACATGAGATTATATATATATATATATAATATCATTCCTAAAATTCCTCAACAAATACTACATGAGATTACAAAGAGACATGAGTGGGACATGAAGAAAGTGAAGAATCTTCAGGTTGAAACAAGACAAGAAAGGCAGGGACCACGGGGAGGACATATAAATAAGCATCGCCCTTCAACAAACTAAAAACAAACCTCCCACCTTCCTCACGTACACCCCATAATTTCAACCAACTAACCCAACCATCGTCTCCTCCAGACAACCATGCCGAGAGATCGGGACCCTCTAGTTGTTGGGAGAGTCATCGGCGACGTCGTCGATTCGTTCTCGAGGTCCATTTCGATTAGGGTTACTTACAGTAGTAGGGAAGTTAACAATGGTTGTGAGCTCAAGCCGTCTCAGGTTGTCAACCAGCCAAGAGTTGAGATTGGAGGCACTGATCTTCGCACCTTCTTCACTCTGGTAATTCACTAAGGCCTTGTTTTTATAATCATTTTGTTTTCTAATTTTCTACTGTTGAAAGTTTGCTTATAAATACTACTTTTATATACATTTTTTTTCTCCGCTTTCCTATCTACTTAAAAAAACGTTTATAAAAAGTAGCTTTCAAAAACTTGTTATTGGTTTTGAAATTTGAGTTATGATTTAAATGAAAAACATACCAAAGAAACTATGAAAAACAAGAAATAAAAACGTTATCAACAAACGTAAAACAACTTTCTTGGCCATGCAGATTTTTTCTTCTTTATCCTTTACCCTTTCATCTCATTTTGGTTGCCTTTCTTTGTTTTAGGTTATGGTGGATCCTGATGCTCCTAGCCCAAGTGATCCTAATCTTAGGGAATACTTGCATTGGTACGTACCTTTTTACTTTTTCGGTCTAAATTCTACTTTGATCTATAAATTTTTCGTTCTAGTTTCATTTTACTTTTCTCCTCATTTTTTCCTTTTCCATCGCAAGCATGCATCTTATAGATCTAAGATGCTCCAATGTAGTGGAACGTCTACTGCTATTTTGTAACTTCATGAAACATTTTTAGATTGTCTACGGGACAACTTTATGTTTCTTAGACTGAAGATTGAGTAAAACATATTTTAATAATTATTTTTATAAAGTTCTTCCATAAATTTCTTGAGCATGTTACTAAAAAAAGGAAAAAAAATTACTAAAAAAACATGGTTTTGATAACTAATCTAAACAAGAATAAAATTCTTTTTATTAGGCATATTCTCTCCTATAGCCTATCTATTCAAAACAAACAAATTATAGTGTTCCAAAAGTAAAAGTATGTGAATATTGATAGAAAATATGCATATCATAATATTAACCATTTAAAGATAGTACCCATCATAATTCTTCATCAACCAATAATATAAAAATATCCACACACATTGGTATGCACATTTTTCTTCATTATGGTTTTTTTTATCCCTTTAAAAACTTGTATAAAAGTTAGCTTTACAAAGTTAACACAATTCAAACTATTAAGATTACGACAATAAATTTGATAACCATTTCATTTTTTAATTTTTTGTCTTTGAAAATTAAACTTATAAATACCACTTCCACCCGTGAATTCATTTGTTCCGTTATCTGTTTTAAAAAAGAAAAATCAACTCCTAAATTAAAATTTGAAAACTAAAAAAAAGAGAGGATAAAAAAATGAGATCATTGTCAAATGGGACCTAAATAATAAACTATTAATAACGCTAGATTAAAAGTAACATCAAGACAAAAAGGAAATTGAGAGATATAATGGAGTTGGATGGTTTCGATTTTTCGTGTCAGTTCGGTTCTTTATACCTCTAGCAAATTGATTGAGGAATGATAGGGTTGTGTTGTGTACACGTAGGCTAAAAGGGAAATTTTGAAAAGAAAAGAAGAAAAAGAACTTTTCACTGTTGGGAAAGGAATAAAGCTGAGAGTGGTCTAACTCGGCTTTTGCGCGTGGGACAGTTTGACGAATCTGCGAGTTTTTGTGGTTTGATTGGATGGATCGAATGAATTCGAATTTCATCTTTTTATTTTATAAAATTTTATTGGACGTATTATTATGATGGCGATTGAGGTGGAGGATCTGGAATCGGCGATTATATTAACTTTTGGCGCTCACGATTAATTGAGATTCCTTGTACAAGTTCAACACGAACGTGGCCCATTTTCTTGTGGCTGGACTTAGGTTTTGATTCCCACTAAAGTTGAATGTCTTTTCATTAATAAAATAAAAATAAAAAATTATATACCCACTTTTGTCTTTGTTTTTATTTTTGTAATTTTGTTTTGTTCCTAATATTATACCATTGGATGTACGAGAAAAAAAATATATCTAATGGTTCTTATGAGCCTACAAATTTCAAATCTAAATCCAATAATTATCAAAGGGTAGTTATATTGTGATAGTTATATTCAATCTCTTTTTTTTCTCACTTGATGAGTCATGTTATTGCGTGTCCAAACAACTCTTTTGGTTCAGGCTCGAATTTTGCAAAAAGGGATAGTAGTATTTTATGTTTCGTTTGTGAAAATATTTGCCAATAGGTTCGAGTTTACATAATGTAAGTTGAGGCTTATGATATTTAAAAATCTTAATTTACCGTGAGTTAATTAAACTTGTGTTTATTTTGCAGGTTGGTGACTGATATTCCAGCTACAACAGGGGCAAACTTTGGTACTTTTTTTTTCTCCTTTGATAAATTTGAGAGTATTTTTTTCGTAAAGATCACTTGATCAGTTCATATGAAAGAGACATAATTTTCCACTTTAATGATTGGTTCATTCAACCAACATATAAGAAAACTAACTTTTCTTCCATGTTTCTTCTTTCTCTGAATCGGTTCCTAATGTCAATCAATCAAGATTGCGATTCGCCATGATAATTTGTTGAAAGTGTGGTGGTGATGCCTCCAAAAGATACATATATTCTTTGCAATTATTCAAGCACCTTGAAAGGACAGCCAAGAAAAAAAAAATGGTGTTGGTCTTATATGGTGATGTGAAAACTTTCTCATAGTACTTATTCCTTTGATTAATTCTTAAAAGTTGAATTGGGTTTTTCATTTTGGTGTTTAAAGAATAAAAATGGTTGTACGGTAGTCATTCTCTTTTTATTTGTTCCTTAAAATATTCCTGATCTTAGGCCCTGAATCATCCTCTGTAGACGAATCTAAATATGTCGTTTATTCGGTTTGAATTTTAATAGCATTTTCAAATGTATTGAGTTTGAGAAATTAATACGAAGCATTTTAAGCTTTGGAGACTAAAAGTATATTTTAACTCAAATCTCGTGGCAGGCCAAGAGATAGTGTGTTATGAGAGCCCAAGACCAACGGTGGGGATCCATCGCTTTGTGCTCGTGTTGTTTCGACAGCTAGGAAGGCAGACGGTGTACGCCCCCGGGTGGCGCCAAAACTTTAACACTCGAGACTTTGCGGAGCTTTATAATCTGGGTTTACCAGTTGCTGCGGTTTATTTCAACTGCCAAAGGGAGAGTGGATCTGGTGGAAGGAGAAGAGTTCAAGACGATTATTGAAAACTTGTTAAATGTCACATAAACTTATAACATATATATATATATATATATATATATATATATATATATATGTTATATCATATATGGTTTTGAGTGCGTAGATTTATGCTTCTAGTGAAGGTTAATAAAGGAAAATATGTTGGTAATATTGCCTTTGTGTACTATTATATAATAATATCATTTGATATTAATAATATGAGTCATTTTTGGTTTTTTATTCCCAAATTTTCCTTTTTCTTTATTACTACTGCATATAACATATCATACTAGAAAGCGTGTGAAGGCTTAGCCCAGAGGTAAATTGCAACATGTCTCTGACTAAAAAGATCACGAGTTCAAATCMTCCCACCTCACTTGTAAAAATATGTATACAGTGCTATGAAATTCATACTTCCATGAATCATGATGACAACAAAATAGTGAAATAAATCATCTTCTCTCCCTCTTTTCTAGAGCTGCATGATACTACAAGAGTAGTGTTTATATGGTTTTTCCCCTAGTTCCTGTTGGGTTTTTTTTTCCTCCCACGTGGAGGCTATTTTTCGTTTATTATTCCAAGTCACAATATATTTAAGTCGTTTAAAACATATATTTCTTTGTTATCTCCTGATTCCCATCGGAACTTTAATAAAGGGAAATTACTATAGGTGTCCTTATTTCTTCAACCCCTTCTAGTTTTCTTGATTTAGTTTGGATACTATCTACTTTTGAATTTTGAACTTCAATTTTAACTTTGGTCATCTTTCAGGAGACATTGCTTACGTTGATGGGGGCGATAATCAACAACAAACTTGGGAATTCTTAAGCTTAGGGACCTGGGATTCTATGTCTTAATAATTTATTATAAATATTATATTAATTATTAGTTATTAATTATCAATACTAATAAATGTATTCGGATATAAAAGGTTAAAATGTAAAAGTTTTCCTATAATATAAAATTAATTTTTTCTTTAATTATAATTCATACCAGTATTTCAAAAATTTTGTAATTTTTTATTCTCCACTGCTGTAACAAGACTTTCTATCACAATTTTTTTCCACAATACTTAGAGTTTCATTATTTTTTATTTTTAGTTCTCTCAAAACATTATTCAATTTTCAAAACATCTAAAGATGTTAGTAGCATATTCAATCTAAATCTGAGATCCTAGACTTGTGATGTTACCATTCCATAATTTTGTGAAATTGAATAATAGTATTTGTCAAGCAATTATCAAAAGTGAGCATATCTACTTTAAAATATGAGTGCATAGCTAGGGGTTAATTTTTTTTCTTTACTATTGGTTTTCATGGTTCTTTTATAATTAGTGAATCATTTTTTATTTATAATATTTTTTTTTGCTAGCAATTTTATATAGAATGTTTGTTTAAAAAATAGATCAATTACAAACTCTTGTTCTTGTGGTTTTAAAACATCATATAAGTTAATACCTCAAAATTTTTAATTAATTATGAAAAGTATATTATTAGATTAATGATCAACAAGCATCAAATCTAAAAACTTAGAAATACAAAACTTTTTATCATTTCATTTACCAGGAATATAATATAAAGAATTTTTCTTTAATAATTTTAATTATAATATAAAATTAAATGAGTAAAATAATTTGATATCAAGTTTAAAAGTTCAATATATAACAAAATCTTAGGGTGAAAAACCTTAGCGATCTAACTAAGTAAAACAATATTTTAAAAACAATATATTAAAAATTTACATATATTTAAACTAATATATTAAAAATAATGAAATGTAAAAATAGTAATAAGAACATTTAAATGCACTGAGATTAAAGGATTAAATTAGTAAAATAATTTTATCTGAAATAAAAAAATTCAATATATAACAAAATGTTAGTTCAAAAAATCTTTATAATTTACAATAATTTAAAAACAAAAAATTATGGGGGCCAAGATAACATTTTCAAATAAAACTATTAAAATATGTATACATTTTTTAATTAACTAGTAACAAACACGTAAAATTCATAACTTTATTTCAAGCTATTTAAAACATAAAATTTAATTAAATAGTTAAAATATTAAATACAATTTGGTCATTTTATCTCTCCCTATTTACCTCATCAACATTTTTTAATCTCTAAACAAATTTGAGAAGCAATCATGGTTGCTTGATATATTTCATAATTAAAATACAACGAGCAAAAATAAATAATTTAACATGTATCTATGATAGAAATTGACAAATCTTTTTTCAATTCAAAATTTTATCATATCTTTATTATTAGACATTTGGAAGCTTAAACAGTAGTATTAAGTTTTTTAAGGTATGCAACTTATGTTATTCAATTTTATGATTTTTCTGAGTTTATTGAAATTTTAAAATTAAATTAAAAGGTAAACTTTACTTTTGTTTTTTTAGAAGAAAAAGTAAACTTTAATATTAAAATAATGCAATACCATTATACTTTTATCGACAATATTAAATGCTATTACTTTAATTTATAGTCTTTATTTAGAGGGACATTTTATAGTCTATTTATAGAGAAGGATCAAATTCAAATAATTTAGATAAATTTCGCCAAGAGAGAAGTTTTCGTAGTTTTTTTTTAAAAGATCAATGTTATTAATTTTCAAGACCATAATGTTATGGTTGTTTTTCCAATGTGACATCAATAATGATTTGTTATTATAAAAAGAAAACATAAATATTCTTAAAAAAAAAACTCACCCCCACTCCTTGTAGAAATGGGGCTTGTTACTATTATTATTTTTGATAAAAGGCTTCAAAATAATTTAATGAAATATTAAAAATAAAAGTAAACTGATTTTTAAATTATAAATTTTAAAATAAAATGCAACAAAAATCTTTATAAACAAAATATAATATTAATATGAATTTCAACTTTGACCAGCTATCATAGGTAAAAATTGGAATTTTAGTAGAGTGAAATAACTAAGAATCCATGAATGACAAATTTCATTACACATGTTTTTGTCTATTTATATGTCACTTAGAAACTAAAGTAACCCTAAATATAAATTGCTATCAAATACCAGGGAAAAATTTTATTAGCAGTGACCTTGGTGGTGAGCAAAATATCCTGCGAAACCTAAAGAAAAAATTCAATCTTATTTTTTACGTAAATCTAAGGACAGAAAAAAAAATCCATTTTCAATTTCAATTTTATATATTTTCAATTAAATGAATCCCCAACCAATATATTTTTCAATTTCTCTCTCTCCAATTTCAATTTCAATAGAGAAATTTGAGGAAGAAACAATGTAAGGTACCTCAATTTTATCTGTTGGTACACATTTTGCTCCACCCACCTCTAACATTCGATGAAGATTTGAACTTCGAAACTCTAAACCGTTTTCAATTCCTGAAACTCTCCTTAGAAAATGCTATTTCTTTTTGTCAATCTAGTTGGGGATCTCTCCACTTACACCTTCATCTCGTACTCTCTAAGTTTTTTTTTCTTTGCTTGTGTTGTTATTTCGAGATTGATTTATGGAACCTAAGAGGAAGATGAAAGGTTTAGTGAGAGGAGGAGAACTTGGGTAATTGGAGCCTGAGAAATAATGAGAGTGCATAAATAAATTACCCAGAGAGAATATTGGAGGAAGTTAGAGAGGTGGGAAAGTGAAGACAATAGAAGAATTTAGAGGGGTGAGTGAGAGAGAAATGAAGGAAGTTAGGTCGGGGAAAAGACAAATCTAATTATTTATTTTATTATATATTTTTATACATTTATTTTTTTAAAATACTATTTAACCATTAAAACATCACAATTTTTGAAATTCCATTGTTAATTATATAATTAAAGTTAAAGTCATTAATTTTTAGAAATAAATTGAAATAAGATTTTTCACATTATATTCATTGTATTTTTTTTTCATTCTAACTTAAATAAAGGAACTAAAAAGACAAAAAAGATAAATAATAAAAATATAAATAGTAGAAGAGAGGGAGGGGTGGCATGGAGAGTGAGGGAGAGAGAAAGGAGGGTGTGAATCAGTGGGAATTAGAAGAGATTTGGAAAGAGAAATATGTGGGATTTTGGAGGGGAAGAGTTGATGACAAAAATGACATCAAAACAATAAAGAAAACGGGCAAAATAGGGAGAAAAAGTTTCTTCATATAATTCTTTTATATATATAGTATAGATATACTAAAAATGAGTGAAAATCAGCATACCTCCGATAATTGACATATATCTACTATGTAAATTCGAAACTCCATTACCACACGTTGTACTAAAATAATAATAATAATAATATGTTAAAAATAGCATGTAACCTAAAAATCATTAAAAAGTCGCATCAATAACTAATTTAACATATTTCATATATTTTCATTTTAAACTTATTTTATTAATAAGAATTATTTTTCATCTTATATTTTTATAATTATACTAATTATAAATAATAAAATAAATTTATCAATTTATATATAAGCAAATGAACTTTTATAAATGGAAAGTAAATATTAATTTTATTATTATAATATAAAATAATATTAAAAAACTATGCATGCACATATTAATAAAAAGAATTTACCTAAATTAATTAAATAATTATTATCTTTTATTATATTATATTTATTCTTTAAAATCTCAAAGAATATAATAAAATTTAATGTAAAAATACCAAGAGTCATAAAATCTCCGAACAATTATAATTTTAATATATATATGCACACACTTTACACTTATTTTATGGCTTTGAAACTTAGTTTAAATTTAGTCTCTATGCCTCTGACTCAATTAACTTTTGCCATAATTTCCTCAATGGCAGCAATTCGGTGGATCATCTGAACAAAACCTACATAGTCCTTATTCCAAACGTCAAGGATCCAAAAAGCATGAAGGATTCCAGACCCATCAGCCTTTGCAATGTCGTCTACAAACTAATTGTTAAAACTCTTTCAACACAATGGAAAAAGTCCTAGATGGGATTATCTCTCTGACTCAATCAACTTTTGTCCCAAGAAGGGTAATAACTGACAATGCAGTTGTAGGCTTCGAGTGCATCCACTCTTTGATCAATAGAAGACGGGGAAAGGATGGCTATGTCACCCAAAAAAAAGAAAGATGGCCATAATGAGGCTAAGATATTTCCAAAGTGCTTTGGAAATATCTTAGCCTCATTATGGCCATCTTTCTTTTTTTTGCCTTTTCTTTTTGGACATGATAGTCTCAGCTTTTTTTAAGCTATAGTGTCAGATTGTCAAGTTATAAAGTGGATTCTCAATGCATATGAACCTGCTTCAGGACAAATAATTAATTATGACAAGTCCTAGTCCATGGTCCACAAGAACACAAAGCCTGAGATAATCGACCTCATAAAGGCAGAGGTTAATGTTTCTTATACCTATCAACCGAGGCATTATCTCGGCCTCCCCTACCAACTCTGTAGAAATAAATCCATTGTTCTCAACTCTATTAAGGACAGGGTCTAGAAAGTCTTGCAGGGGTGGAAACAGAAGGTTTTTTTTTTTCTCTCTCTGAAGGAAGAAAGGAAGTTCTAAATAAAGCAATTGCTTAAGCAATTCCTAATCATACGATGAGTTGTTTTAAGCTTCCTTTGAACCTTTTTAATGAGATTAATGAGCTTTATGCAAAGTTCTGGTGAGGTTCAACTCAAGATCAAAGAAAAATTCACTAGCAAAGTTGGAAGAAACTATGTAACCTGAAAGAATAGGGTCGTATGGAGTTCAAAGAGCTGAAAGTTTTTGACCAAGCTATGCTTGCCAATAGAGCTAAGGGTTATGAGAAACCAAAATAGCCTATGGTTCAAGATCTTGCGTGGCAAATATTTTAAAATTAGTAGTTTCTTAAGAGTGAAGTTGGAAAATAATCTCTCTTATACTTGGCGAAGTAATTATTTGGGGAAGAGAACTTTTTGAAAAAGGCTTTTGGTGGAGAATAATAGGCCATGGACACTTGGTCTCTCTTGATTTTTTACCCTTAATTAGCTTCCAAGGAACGACTGCTATAAACTATTTTCCTATCCAAGTCAAATGAAAGAGCACAACGCGGCATCCATCATGATATCAAAAGGTTTTTAGAAGTTAATTCGAACAAGTTTCATTAAGTCAGAGGTCAAGCTCATTCTAAATATTCCTCTCCCAAAGATGTAGGGACACATGGAGGATGAAGTTATTTGGAGCCCAGATAAAAAAACGTTTTTTCTTGGTAAAAAGTACTTATTACTTAGGCATGACAGACCAAATAAGAGAGGAGGCCACAGTTTCTAACAATGACGCTCCCAAAGGCGCACCTGGAGCTACTTATGGAAGTCTAAAGTCGCCCCAAAAGTAAAAAATTTGTTGTTGGAAATTGTTGGATTGATATTTCACCAACAAACTCTAATATATTTAGAAAAGAAATCCGTTCGCATTTTTTGTGTCCTCTTTGTTTTCCCTTCGATATTTAATAATGTGGCCATGACATTATCACTAATATTCTTTTCGATATGCATGACATCAAGTTTGTGTCGAATCTTGAGAGTTGACCAATATGGTAATTCAAAGAATATACTTCTCTTCACCCAATTAAATTGGTTATTTAGTTGCTTCCCATCCACTGTGAAACGTTGATAGTTTTTCCGAGTGGCGGAAAATTAATGGAATCTAATTGGTGGATGACATCCAATCAAGAAAAATGTCGTGGTGCAACTCTATGTTCAGTTTTTCCATTATATTGTTTACTTCTGCGCCAAGGATGATTTTGTGCTAAGAATCGACAATGTCCCATATAGCATATCTTACTATGTGATTTGTCCGATGAAATATCTTTATTACATACTGGACATGCCTTTTAGCCTTTCATACTCCATCCTGAAAGATCTCCATAAGCTGGAAAGTCATTGATTGTCCACATCAAAGCTGCATGAAGTCGAAAGTTCTGACTACTACATACATCATACGTATCAACACCGGTAGACCACAATTCTTTCAATTCGTTTATCAATGGTTGCAAATAAACGTCTATATCCTTTCCTGGAGCTTTTGGACCTGGTATGAGTAATGACATGAACCAAAACGATTCCTTCATGCATTTCCACGGGGGCAAGTTATATGGAATTAATATTACTGGCCACGTACTATATGATACATTCATGTTTCCAAATGGATTAAATCCATCAGTGACCAAGGTCAATCTTACATTCCTTGAATCCCTGGCAAACCAAGAATATTGTTTATCAAACTCCTTCCACGCCTCACCATCAGCTTGATGTCGTAAAACCCCTTCTACGTCTAGTCTTCTTTCCTTATGCCATCTCATTTCATTTGACGTATGCTTAGACAAATATAATCTTTGCAATCGAGGTATCAATGGGAAATGCCTTAGAACTTTGTGTGGAATCTGTATTCCATTCCCCTTGTCTGTTTTGTAACGAGGTTCGTTACATTGTGGACAGACATCAGCTTGCTCATTATCTTTCCAAAATATGATACAATCATTCTTGCAAGCATGTATTTTTTCATATCCTAAGCCCAAATCGCATAACATCTTCTTTGCACCATAATACGACTCTGGAATTTTGCAATCATTAGGAAGTGCTTCTTTAAGTAATTGCAACAACATATCAAATGACTTATTACTCCATAGATTAAGTACTTTAAGTACTTTAATATGCAATAACTTAACCATGAATGTTATTACCGAAAATTTCATACATCCAGGGTATAATTCTTGGTCAAGTTCATTAAGCATGGATTGAAACTTGGTATTTTGAGCTTGTCTATTGTGATCACTTGATTCACCCCTAACTGACTGCCCTTCTTCATTAGACTTAGTGTATCTCTTATTTGTCAAATCATTTAACATTTCACTAATTCCTTGTTCCTGACCTATGTTTTGGTCCACGTTTACACGTATTCTCTTAGAATGCAGTTCTCTAGTTTCACCATGGAAAGTCCATATCCTATAATAAGGATACATTCCATACGAGTACAAATGACCTTCGACATCACATGGTCGTTTTGATTGGAAATTTCGACATTTCCTACATGGGCAACGTGTGAACCCTCTTTTATCGAGATGCTTCTTTGATAATTGAACAAATGACCTAATTCCTTCGGTATATTATTTGCTTAACCTAACTGAATTTCTTATCCAACTTTTATCCATAATTCTTCCTATTCAAATGCAATAATACAAATAATTATAAACATAATTAAACAAGTGAAAGTACAAACTTATAATAAAATAACAATCATAACACATAAACTCATAACAGATCGGGATACATATTTGGAATTCAGGAATTCAGAACGAAACCTAAGTGCATGTAGGTAACAAGAATAGATTGGGATACATATTATGTGCATGCCCATCTAAAAACAAGAAAGACAATAAAAGTTGCATAAACAAGGAGCAATTAAGCAACAATTGAGTCAATGACAAAACCTAAAATAAAGCAACAGATTCTCAAAGTGCAAAAACATAATTGGAGGCAATCTGAACATGCAAAAACATTACTATAAACAAACAACATGTGTTGCGCCTCTGCTTAATAGTAAGAGGGACGAGTGCAAGTGCACACTGTCACAAGTAATAATCTAGAAATATTCCAAGTTCGTCTCCACAGGAACTAGTTTTCTTTTTAAAATTGATTTTGCAAATTGTTGGAATGAACAATCGAGTTTGGGAATAAAAATAATTGATTGGTTGAAATGCACGTTTTATAATTTAATAAAATAGAATTTTGAAACCAACCCTCATACTACTGACTAGTTTGAAGAGAAATGAATTGCACCTATCAGAATCTCACACTAAATTTACTCTCTAATTGCAAACTGGTTCAACTCCTATTCCATATCGCTTTTGGTTTGTTTAGAAGATTAGGCAAGTATTTAAAACATGTCTCTAAAATACTAGAAGAATCCTAAGTAATTAAAAATCCAACTTACGTTTAATGGGTAAGAGAGCCTATGTCTAGGATCTTGTTTAAGTTCTTATGTCTAAGTAACTTCCCATTTTATCTTGATGAACTTCGTTGACTCTAACCTTTTCAGAATTAAACTCAACTGTTGTGATTTGAACAAGTGGCCAGCAAGTAAAATCAACTAGATTAATTAACTCAATCAAGATAAGCAATTCGAGCGTAAACGTCGTGTTATCTGATAGATGTAATTAAAATGATGGGAACTAAGTCATTCGTAAGAGGATTGGAAAAGCAAATTAGCTTCTCATAAAAACATGAAAAATAGAAATAATAAGGAGTGGATTGAAATAAAATATCATATTAAATTTAAGAAGTAATTACAATAGCTAAATTAAAATCGAGAACCAAAATCTAAAGAAAATGATAACAACAAAAAGGAATTGCAATAAAAATAATTCAAGGAATGTTGAGCAAAATTAAAGACAAAACAAATTCTAAAAACGTAAATTCTAGAGAGGAAACAAGCTGGGATTTTAAATGTCAAGTGAGCTCTCCTTTGAAGCTTGATGGAACTTGGTATTTATAAGCCAAACCTTGCAAGTTGGTGGAGAAAATCTTGGGTATTTAAGTGGAGGAGCTACAATGGGGCTTAACAGCATTTGGTTGCACGGATCAAGGGATGGGTTGAGATTTCTTCCAACTGCCCGGTCAACAAACGTCCTTATTTGTAGGTGGAGAATGCGCCAGGCGCATTGCTGAAGTTCTGGAGTATTGGCGATGCGCCAGACGCATCGCTGCTAGCTTTTAAGATAGTCTTTATGTCATCTGCAGTAGGTGCATTGCTGCTTTTTCCTTCCTTTTTCCTTATAAAACATATATATTTCCTCATAATTCCATCTATTTATCCGCAACCAAGTGTACAAATCTTTCTTAAGAAATAGTCTCATTTATATCGGATTCAATGCATGAAACATACGTATTTAATTTCAGAAGACACTAAACATGCACAATTTGTAAACACTTTTTCCTAAAATTCAAGACTTATCAACATGCCTACTTTAAACAACAACATAACTAAATCAAAACAAATATATGACTAATTCAAATACTTTTAATTAACATACTCCCGTAGTTGCACCTCTCAAGGAGACGGCAAAGAAAAATCCCCCAATTGCTTCTCTATCCCTCAGTGGGGTGTGGCTACAAAATCAAAATTCAATAGTCAATCAAACAAATCAAACATAAGTGTTTGTGAAACATAAGTGTTTGTGAAACATAAGTGTTTCTTGCACAATGATCGCTCTAATCAACAATCAACATGTTTATTTTTCAATCCATGTGCATACAAAGTCACTCTCCGAAGTCATTGTGGGTAATGAATGACACATTTTCTTAAAACACATTTTCTTCCAAAAAAAAAACATTTCAGACTCGAAACCAAATTGCAGCTAAATTAAACATCTTGTAGACTACAAATAATAGAATAATATTGGAACATTTCGATTAACTAAAGAGCTAAAATATAATTAACCTAGCACAAAATATAAAATTCTAAGTCATATAATTTATAAACATCTCATTCCCAAAACTTAATGCATCCATTTCCGCATATCCTAAAACTCTAAAATAATTCAAAGCATATCAAGGCACAATAGGTACTAACTAGATAGAACACAGCTAGCTATGAAATTAGTGAAATAAGTTCACAACGAATCTGATAAAATTACTGAAACACTACCA